GAGGAAACTTACTTTCTTTTTTTTTTTTTTTTTTTTAATTCTCATCCAAGGATATTTTTCCATTGATTTTCAGAGAGAGTGGAAAGGAGGGGGAAAGTCAGAGAGACATTGATGTGAGAGAGACTCAACAATTGGTTGCATTTCTGCATGCACCCAGACCAGGGCCGGGGATTAAGCTTGCAACCACAGTACATGCCCTTGACTGGTATTGAACCTGGGACACTGCAGTTCTTGGGCCTTTGCTCTATTCACTGAGCCAAATCGACTAAGGCAGGAAATTTTATTTTAAAAAGATCCATAATCTAGCCAGTTTGGCTCAGTGGATAGAATGCCGGCCTATGGACCAAAGGGTCTTAGGTTAGATTCCCGTCAAGGGCACATACCTCCATTGCAGGCTTCTCCTCGGCCTGGGTCTTGATCGGGGCTCATGCAGGAGGCAACCAGTCGATGTGTTTCTTTCACATTCATATTTCTTTCTGTCTCTTACCCTCCCTTCAACTCTAAAAATCAATGGAAAAATATCCTTGGGTGAAGGTTAAAAACACACACACACACACACACACACACACACACACACACACACACACACACACCATGAAAGATCCTATTGGATTACAAGTTAATTTTGCACCAAGATCAAGAAGATTGCGCCTGGGAAAAGGAATCCTGATTACAGTGTTAGGATTTTTAGGGGAAATGAAGCAAAAATTCTCGATATGCTGCTGAACTGAGCAGCCCACGTTTGGCTATGTGTGTACTAAAGAGCAAATGCTAATCTGCATAAAAAGAATCACAAAGCAGGGAAAAAGAAACCAAATAGCTCTCTGGAGTCAGTTGACAGTACCTGGTTTTGTATTCCAGGAAGCCTGGCTGCAGTGTTTGATTAGTGCACTGCAATCATCTTTAAAACATAAATATATATATATATTTCTTATTTCAGAGAGGAAGGGAGAGAGAGAAACATCAATGATAAGAGAGAATCATTGATTGGCTGCCTCCTGCATACCCCCTACTGGGGATTGAGTCTGCAACCGAAGTACATGCCTTTGACTGGAATTGAACCTGAGACTTTTCAGTCCGCAGGCGGAGGTTCTATCCACTGAGCCAAATCAGATGGGGCAGCAGTCATCTTTTTAATGAGTTCCTTTTCTCCCAGAAACAGTAAATATGGCAGATATAGTAAAAACTAGAAATTAGCCAGGAAAAAAAACAGGAATGTTTATAATTACAAAAGGAGAAAAGAAACTGGAGTGTTAATTGTGTTATTTCATGCTTAATATGCAAAAGGCTCGTAGATGAAAAGGAGACTAAGCACTTTTGGTCTTGATCTTTACTGAGGACCTTTAAAAAGGTTCCAATTGCTTAATTATCTTTGAAGCTAATAATTTTAGAAGCATTAAGAGTAGTAAATACCTGGGATATTCACACCTAATTTTCAGAACGAGGGTCATATTGTAATAGGACTTTTCACCTGCGAGGCCCCTTGAGGATCTCCAAACGTATTATATTTAATTTTTAAGGAGGGTCATGTGTACATTTAAAAAATAGGAATAGCCCGACTGGCATGGCTGAGTGATTGAGCATCGACCCATGAACCAGAGGGTCACTATTTAATTCCTGGGTTGGGGCTGGATCCCCAATGGGGTATATAGGAGGCAGCTTATCAATGATTCTCTCTCATCAATGATGTTTCTCTCTCTTGCCCTCTTCTTTCCTCTCTGAAATCAATAAAAATATCTTTTTAAAAAATCCCCTTCTTTTCCCTTTTATCCACTCTCCCAATTTCTAAATGTTTTGTTTTTTATTAGAGTGTTTAATCAACTTACATTTATTATAAGTACTGATCAGGTATGGCTTACACCCACTATTTGGTATATTTTTTGTACATTCTATGTCTTTTTTGTTCCTCTATTCCTCCATTAGTATCTTTTTGTATTAAGTGGATATTTTTTAAATTTATCATGTTAGTTCCCTTGTTATTTCTTTTACTGTATTTTATTTTTATATAATAAAGGTGGAATTTATTAAAGAACAAATACAGACTCCCATGTGAGGAGGGGGAAAGAGTCCCCTTTTACTGTATTTTTAAAGGTATTTTCATAGTGGGTATCCTGCATATTACATTAACTTCTAATAATCTAGCGCAGGTTAATACTTGAAGAAATTGAAATTTAGTTTCAGTACTATACAAAAACTTTGCCACCTATATGGATCCATTATCTTTCCCCTGCTTTGTGCTTTTATTTCCATACAAACTGTATTTTTTTTTACATTATAATTCCATTAACATAGTTTTATAACTGTTGCTTTATACAGTTGTGTTTTAACTCATATGGAAGAAAAAAAGAGTTGCAAGCAAAAAATACATTTGTACTATCTTTTATATAGTTTAATTGTAGTTTTCTTTACTGATCTCTTTATTTCTCAATGTAGATTTAATTTACTGTCTAGTGTCCTTTCATTTCAGACTGAAGGACTAATATTTCTTGAAGGGCAGACCAGCTAGCTAGGCATTCTTTCAGGTTTTATTTAACTGGGAATGTCTTATGTTCTCCTTTATTTAATAAGAATGTATTTGCTGGATATAGAATTTTTGGTTTGACAATTTTTTACCTTCAACCTTTTGAATGTGTCATAATGTGTCATCCTATTGCCTTCTGGCCACTATGGTTTCTGACAGTCTTATTGAGGAGCATTTCTATGTAGTACATCACTTCTTAGAGTCAAGATTTGTCTTGTCATTTTTTTTTAAAATATATTTTTATTGATTTCAGAGAGGAAGAAGGAGAGAGAGGTAGAAACATCAGTGATGAGAGAGAATCATTGATCAGCTGCCTCCTGTTCCTCCACACTTGGGATTGAGCCTGCAACTTGGGCATGTGCCCTTGACTGGAATCGAATCTGGGACCTTTCAGTCCACTGAGCCAAACCGACTAGAGCTTGTCCTTGTCTTTTTTTTTTTTTTTTTTTTTTTTTAATATATATTTTATTGATTTTGTACAGAGAGAAAGGGAGAGAGATTGAGAGTTAGAAACATCAATGAGAGAGAGTCATGGATCAGTTGCCTCTTGCACACCCTCTACTGGGGATATGCCCGCAACCAAGGTACATGCCCTTGACCAGAATCGAACCCGGGACCTTTCAGTTCCCAAGCCAACGCTCTATCCATTGAGCCAAACCGGTTTCGGCTGTCCTTGTCTTTTAATAGTTTGATTTGATTATGATAGACTTTGGTGTGGTGCTCTTTGAGTTTATCTTACATGGAGTTTCTTGAGCTTCTTGGCAGTGTAGATTAAGGTGTTTGTCAATTTTGGGGAATTTCTGTCCTATATTTCTTCAACTACTCCAACTCTTATCACCATTTCAGGCAGCTCTTGTGTTAAAGCATCACTTGCCACTGATGGTTTTGATAATCACCCCAGGGAAAAGGCTATTCAAGGTCAACCAGGTGCTGAGTCAGGTCAAATAAAGATAAGCCCAGTGAGTGGGAGTTTACCAGGAACCACCACATTGGTCAGGTAATGACAGTGTTTTGAAGATGGGGTTTTTAGGGAGCTTCATACTTGTGAAGTTTGAGGCTCCCCAGAAATGTTTTCCTAGGCTGAAATTAAGGCTACTGCCACGCTGGTGAGAGGAGGGCGGGAGGAGAGCAAGTTAAAATGCCTGCCACATAGCTCATTTTTCTTACTTTGATTCAGCCATTTGTCTTGAATAAATGCTGCTTGAATTATTGTAAGCCTTTGTTTAATTTCCAGATATCTAAAATACTTGATTCTGATAATTTTTGCTAGTATTCTTGTTGATTTTGTTGAGCAGATATATGGAAGTCCTTACTCCACCATTCTGGAAGTGGCTTCCCCTTCATACATTTGAAGTGGCTCTGTGTTTGTTTATGGTTTTTTTGTTTTTTTTAATGTATTTTATTGATTTTTTTTCAGAGAGGAAGAGAGAGGGATAGAAAGTTAGAAACATCAATGAGAATCATCGATCAGCTGCCTCTTGCACACCCCCTACTGGGGATGTGCCCGCAACCAAGGTACATGCCCTTGACCGGAATCGAACCCGGGACTCTTGAGTCCACAGGCCGACGCTCTATCCACTGAGCCAAACCAGTTTTGGCTGTTTATATATTTTTTATTATATTTTTAAATTAAATCTTTGTTGTTGGAACTATTACATATGCCCCTGGTTTTCCCCTATTGATCCCTTCTAGCCTGCTCCCACCCTGTAAGAGCATAAATTGTGTTGTTTTAAGCCATTAAGTTGTGTCAATTGGTTGCAGCAACCACATGAAATAAATATGGGGGATAATAGTGTTTATAGCTGAAGTATCAACAGTTACCCGAGCGTCAGTATATGCCAAGAAATATTCTAGGTGCTAAGGGTGCAGTGGTGAACAAAAGCTATTTTGCTCTTAGTTAGCTTGCATTCTTTTCTTAAGTAGATAAACAAGTAAATACATGAATAACTTTATATATGGAGAAAATAAAGTGGAGATAGGGGTTAATGAGAAGTGTGTGTGTGTGTGTGTGTGTGTGTGTGTGTGTGGTTCCTTGGATAGGTTGGTCAAGGAAATTCTCCCTGAAAAGGTTACATCAACCAAAAGATGATTTGGGGGAGAGCATTCCAGGCAGAGTGAACCTGAAAGATAAAGGTCCTGAGTTGGGGGCAAGCACAGCCAGTTTGAGAACAGGGCCACAGTAGGTAGTTCTGAGTGAGCGAGGAGGAACATGATGGATGAGTTGAGAGCGTTTGTTCTAATTATAGTGGGAAGTCATTGAGAGATTTTTCGCAGTGTTAAGTTGATATGCCATGTTTTAAATACATTATTTTGACTAGAGACTTTAAGGGAGCAAAAGTGGAAACTGGGAGACCAAAAAGAAGTTGTTACTTGCCAGAAAAGGTTCTGGCAAGAGGTGATGGTAGTTTAGACTGCAGTGGTGGTGGGAGAGGTGTTGAGCAAGAGATTTAGATATATTTTTAAGATGGTTGTGAAGATGAAGTTAGATGAGATGTGAGGAGAACCTAGCACAGTGTCTGGTTCACAGTGGTGCTCTCACAGAGTTGCTAATATAATATTATTGTCAGTGTCATTGTCATCATCATTATCTGCTGTAGCTACCAGGGATACTTTAATCTTTTGTGCAAGAAAGGTACACCTAAGCCACATGTGTCCTTTTCACTAGTGGTTCCAGAGGGAATTGACTGTTATTTTGTGTGTGTGTGTGTGTGTGTGTGTGTGTGTGTGTGTGTGTGTCAAAATAATAATAAAAAATCTTTAAATTTTTTTATTTTGAATCTTCAGTCACCTCTTTTCAAACAACTAACTGGTTTTTATTTGGTATTCATTGGAGATTAACTCATAGGAAAAGGAGGAGTCTATATCCACTGAGTGCTTATTAGGTGTCAAGCATGTTACTGAGTAAATAAACATTTACTGCACAAGATTTGATTACACCAGATTTACAGGTGGATGAAACTGAGGCCTAAGAAAGTTAAAAACATTCCCAGGGTGTAGAACGTAATGCAGTTCTGACGCTAGCCACCTTGGTAAATACCAACCACATAAGATAAGGGTACAGTCTCCAATAAGTCAGCCCTCACTTTACACGTCAGCCAGAAGTTTGGAGATCCATAGGCCACCTGCACATCCGACTAACTGACTATCAATTTAGGGGTTCCCACGACTCCTTCAGGTTCAATAATTTGCTAGAATGGCTTACAGGACTCAGGAAAATGTTATACTCATTATGACAGTCTTATTACAAAGCGTACAAATCAGAACCAGCCAAATGAAGACACATGTAGGGTGAGGTCTGGGGTGGTCCTGAACATGGAGCTTTCATGTCCTCTCCTTGTGGAATCAGGGAGCATGATCCTCTTGGCATGTTGATGTTTACACACCAGGAAGTGCCTCTAAGTTTCACTGTTCAGAGGTTTCATTTATGTAGGTGTGGTTGATTGAATCATGGGCCTGGTGATTGAACTCAATGTCCAGGCCTCCTTCCCTCCTGGAGGGAAGGGAATATCATTTCCAAGAGGTCAGGAGATCCAGCCTTTATCAGGTAACTTTCTGAGTCATCGTTAGTCTTTCTGGCTTGCACTCATTTTGAACCATCTTGTTAGCATAAGCTATCTAGGGCCCTACTGCGATGACTCTTTGACATAAACTTTCAGGATCCCCATGAATAACAAAATGTTACTATCACTTGAGAAATTCCAAGGATGTAGAGGTTTCTTCCGAGGAACCATGGACAAAAAGCAGACAAATTCTTTATTACACAACACAGGGTCACAAATCTACTGAGTAGGGGAGCCAGGACTTAATCCAGTTCTGTCTGATTTCAAAGCTACAGCTCTATCTGCTACTCCTTTTTTTTTTTTTTTTTTTTTTTTTAAAATATATTTTATTGATTTTTCACAGAGAGGAAGAGAGAGGGACAGAGAGTTAGAAACATCGATGAGAGAGAATCATCGACCAGCTGCCTCCCGCACACCCCCCACTGGGGATGTGCCCGCAACCAAGGTACATGCCCCTGACCGGAATCGAACCCGGGACCCTTCAGTCCCCAGGCTGACGCTCCATCCACTGAGCCAAACCAGTCCCGGCTGCTACTCCTTTTTTATTAAAGCCCTTAGGTAAGTGATTTGTTGAAAGTCACACAGCTAGTTACCAAAAATTAGGATCTGGCCCCAGTACTAACTACCAATGCATGCTATTTTCCACAATGCAGTTTTGTTTTTTTCATGTTTCTAGAAATTTTACAGCTAGTATGGTGGTCACAGGTGGAGAAAAGATTGGGGGTTTTGTTTTCATTTTTATTTCTATGCTTGTGCGCTCTTGCTTCCTAGCTAAGTTGTCATTGTCATCATTTAGTTATGTTTTATTCACAAATTTTAAAATCAAGTGAAAAAATTAAATCAGTGCTTCCATCTTTTAAGACAATTATTAATTCTGCCCTAGCCTGTTTGGTTCAGTGGTTAGAGCATCGGCCTGCAGACTGAAATGTTGGCAGGTTTGATTCTAGTCAAGGACACATATCTCTGTTGCAGATTCAATCCCTGGTCCTCGGATGGGGAAAATTCAGGAGACAAACAATTGTTATGCCTCTCTCACATCAATGTTTCTCTCCCTCTTTCTCTCTCTCTCTCTTTTTCTCTCTCTCCCTCCTTCTTTCCTTCCTCCCTCCCTCCCTTCTACTCTCTAAAAATCAATGGAAAAAAATAGATGAGGATTAACAACAAAAAAGAATTATAAATTACTTTTTAAAAAAATATATTTTATTTCTTACAGAGAGGAAGGGAGAGAGAGAATTTTGAAACATTGATCAGCTACCTCCTGCACACCCCTTACTGGGGATGTGCCTGCAACTAAGATACATGCTCTTGACCAGAATCGAACCTGGGACCCTTGAATCCACAGGGCGATACTCTATCCACTGAGCCAAACCCGTTAAGGCTATAAATTACTTTTTAACTTATTATTTTCCTTTTAAAAGTAAGAAATACTGAAAGAAGGAAATCTGTTGTTTTTCTAGCTAACATGGTGCTATTTTTTTCTAATTGTTGGGCTTAATTTGTATATCTCTCCCTGCTTCCAGGTACCATCCACTGTATTTTCAAGGAAAGTGGTCACCACTACACTTGGAAGAAAGTTACCACAACAGTACACAACATTATTGTGGGCAAGTTGTGGATCGATCAGGTGAGTGAGCATGCCCAACATGTTCCTGAAGCCCAGACTATTGTTACTGGCTTATCAGTTTCTCCTGAGGAATTTCTCTTAGGCAGTAACCCCTTCCTAACCTCCCTGAGAGTTTCTATACCACAAATTATTATTTATAAATGACCAATTTGTAACATTCAGTGACTACTAGAACTGTGGGCACTGTGAAAAATAAAATAAAATAATAGCCCTGGCTGGTTTTGCTGAGTGGATAGAGCATCATCAGCCTGCAGACTGAAGGGTTCTGTGTTTGATTCCAGTCAGGGGCATATGCCTGGGTAGCGGGCTCATTCCCCACTAGGGAGTGTGCAGGAGCCCGCCGATCCATGATTCTCTTATTGATGATGTTTCTCCCTCTCCCTTCCTCTTTGAAATCAATAAAAATAAAATAATAAAACACAACTCCCACTCTATTCTTTCATTATTCTTTAGATGTTTACTATCAGGCAGAGTATCAGGGCCTAAGGATACAAAGTCAGATGAAACATTGTTTTTCAAAGAGTTATTGTTTCATTGCATATGTGACTAATTTGTTTAGGTGGAAAGTCTAACAAAATACTCTATGGGAAGAGGTGTACTAGTGTATCTGTTTAACTGTTGGTATGAGCTTAAGACAATGATTTTCTGGTAAATTCAGAAAAGAGAGGGAATGTTATCTTAACTGTCAGGAAAAGCTTCATGGCAGATATGGGGAATAAAATGTAGAAAGGCCTACAACACATAACCTTAAAATTGTGAGTCTAATATATATATATATATATATATATTTATCTCACCCAAGGATACATTTTTATTGATTTTTAGAGAGAGAAACATTGATGTGAGAGAAATATTAATCGGTTGCCTCCATACACTCCCCAACCAGGGACTGTACCCAAAACCTAGGTATGTGCCCCAGCCAGGAATCAAACCTGCAACCTTTTGGTATATGGGATGTCCCTCCAACCAACTTAAGTCACCCAGCCAGGACTGGAATCCTTTGATTTAAGCTCAGAGTTCGACTGAGGATTGGTTTGGAAAAATAAATTATGACATGAATATCAGTATATGTACTGAAGGTCAAATCATGGCACACAACTTAAAGAAAAACAAAGCAAAGGTCAGTTGGTCTTCATCCCAGGCTGGCAAACCAAGATTACAAAGGAATTCCATAGTATCTCAAAGTTGGCTGAGACCTGAATCTAAAGCAAGGGAGTGCTGGAATGTAAGATAGTAAATAAGAATTATGAGGCATGAAAGAAAGGGAGTAGCCGAAACCGGTTTGGCTCAATGGATAGAGCGTCGGCTTGGGGACTGAAGGGACCCGGGTTCGATTCTGGTCAAGGGCATGTACCTTGGTTGCGGGCACAACCCCAGTAGGGGGTGTGCAAGAGGCAGCTGATCGATGACTCTCATCGATGTTTCTAACTCTTTATCTCTCCCTTCCTCTCTGTACAAAATCAATAAGATATATTTAAAAAAAAAAGGGGGGGTGGATTGATAATTATCAGGGGAGAGGGGTGTAGGGGGTGCAGGAAGAGACTGGATTAAAATCGTACACCTATGGATGAGGACAATGGCGGGGGGGATGTAAGGGCAGAGGGTGGGGGGAACCAGGAGGAAGGGAACTATAAGGAGAAAAAGAAGAAACAATTGTAATAATCTGAGCAATAAAGATTTATTTTTAAAAAAAATTATGAGGCATGGAGTTGGCATATATTCAAATCATCCAGTCTTAATAAAACTAATCCTTGTTTCTTTTCATTTTATAGTCTGGTGAAATTGATATTATAAATCACAAGACAGGAGACAAGTGCAATCTGAAATTTGTTCCTTATAGCTATTTTTCTCGGGATGTAGCAAGAAAGGTAAGAGCAGTTGGAATTTAAATTTTTTCATTTAGTGTATATCCCTTAGAAAGGCTACTCCTTTGGGGCTGGGATAAATGGTTGGATGAGTGGATGGGGAGGGAAAGGGGGTGGGAGGGAGGGAGAAAGAGACAGAGAGTGTCTAAATATATGTATCTCCAAAACATACATATATAACATATACACTGAGTCGCCAGATTATTATGATCTCTGAACCCATAATAACCTGGCCACTCAGTGTGTGTGTGTGTGTCCGTCCCAGTGCACAAATTCATGCACTTTGGAAGGACCTGTGGGCAGCGAGGGTGCAGAGGGCACATGGCCAGGTCTCAGCCCATCCTCCACACCCCCACCTGGCCCCTTCTGCTGCGGCTTCTGGTCCCCTGTTTTCTGGCAGCTCCGCTCCCACCACCATACTCCCATATGCTGACAACGCCAACCCTGCTCCCATCCGCTGATGGCACGGAGTGATTGGGACTGGTTCTGTCAGTGGGTGCGAGCAGCGGCTACTGCTCTGAACACCCCTCAGGAGCATAGGGAGGTAGAGAAGCCCTGAGTGGAGATCCGGGCCGGCAGCTGCCACTTGCACTTGTTGACAGTGCCAAGAGATCACCAGCAGCAGATACGAGTGGCAGCTCCTGGCTGACTCCAGCACTGGCAGTGGTGTGAGTGGGGCCGGCACAGGCAGCAGGTGTGAGCACACCGTGCATGGGAGCAAACAGTTTTCGGTAACCACCAGAGGCTCTCCCTAATGACAGCGACCGGCGCCCCGCCTTGGTCTGATGCCCCTGCTCACCTGCTCCATCATCCCTCCGTGGCCAGTGCCCACCATGTTCTGCATTCTGCAGATACCTGCCATATTCCATGCACGCCTCCTGGTGGTCAGCGCATATCATAGTGACCAGTTGTTCCGATGTTGAGTCTATTTGCATATTAGGATTTTATATATATAGATGATGATTAAATAAAAAAAAAAAAGTAGTAAAGGAGAAAGTCAGCAAGGAAGGAGACAGCATTGCATTATGAAACCAAATCCTTCTCTTTTCTGGGAAAGACTACAAGTAAAAAAGTAAAACTCAAGCTGAAACTGGTTTGGCTCTGTGGATGGAGCGTTGGCCTGCAGACTGAAGGGTCCCAGGTTCACTTATGGTCAAGGGTATGTACCTTGGTTGCAGGCATGTTCCCAGTGGTGGGTGGGGGGGTGCAGGAGGCAGCTGGTTGATATTTATCTCTCATCGATGTTTCTAACTCTCTCTCCCCGTTCCTCTTTGTGAAAAATCAATAAAAATATATTTTTTTAAAAAAAAGATAAAACTCAAGAGCAATGAGAGACAACATGGGAAACTAGAGGAAGGACTAATGAAAGGATTACAGGAAGAAGGCACAGGCACTTTGACCATGAGAATGAGTCTGAGCAAGAGATGTGTTTATTCTTTTTTTTTTTTTTTTAATATATTTTGTTGATTTTTTACAGAGATGAAAGGAGAGGGATAGAGAGTTAGAAACATTGATGCGAGAGAATCATCGATCAGCTGCCTCTTGCACACCCCCTACTGGGGATGTGCCCACAACCCAGGTACATGCCCTTGACCGGAATCGAACCCGGGACCTTTCAGTTCACAGGCTGATGCTCTATACACTAAGCCAAACTGGTTTCGGCGGTGTGTTTATTCTTCAGTAGAAAAAGGGAGAGTGAAAAATAGTTACACATTTAAATTTGTGGCACGCTCTGTATTCTGGAGAGAAGAAAACACCATAATTCTGAATACCAGTCAGGTCTTTTTCCTACATAGTATTTTTGTAAAAAAAAATTCCTTTAGCTCATGCCTTGCTTATTTAAATTTTTTAACAAAATAATTTGGATGACTCCATGGTATTTGTCTTAATAGGATTTAACCACTATTTGCCCTAGGACTTTGGTTTCCAGAAGAGCAGGTTAACCTAACCCACAGTGACTGTGGTCTGTACTCTAAAGCCCTGCTCTCCATCCTTGCAGGTGACAGGGGAAGTGACAGATCCATCAGGGAAGGTTCACTTTGTCCTGCTGGGGACTTGGGATGAGAAAATGGATTGTTTTAAAGTCCAGCCTGTTGTTGGGGAAAATGGGGGTGATGCTCGACAGAGAAGCTGTGAAGCAGAGGAGAGCAGGGTCATGCTGTGGAAAAGGAACCCCTTGCCGTGAGTATCAGTGTGCATGCTGCCCAGACACCTCTGCCACCTCAACCTTGGGGTGATATTGATGACATTTCTGCGTTGCTTCCCACATCATTATGTGAGGGGCTGAGCGAAAGAAGTCAGAACCTTTGGAGATATCACCAGAAGGTGGGCACTGGGTGGCTGGAGTTGTAGCATGCCTTACCCCAAGGAAGTTCAAACTAACCAAACCAAATCTGCCAACCATATTTAGTGCTTTCTATAGGTCCTTTGGAATGTGGTTCAGAAGGACATTATTCTATAATTTAGAGCAAAACTTTTCAGAAGTGGCTAGAGGAGAGAGGTGCCTACTACCTGCTTATAATTTAGCCTAAAGGTCCAGCAGCAATGGAAAGCTTCCTGAGATATTGTTCTGGGCTTTGGAAATAAATTAAGATGAAAGCCGTTTCCCTGTCAGATTTAATATGTTCAGTCCATAGTAAGAGTCAAGATTATCCCCGAAAGAGGGTAAAAAGAAAGCAGAAGAAATAAGAATTTTCATTTAGTAGAATGTTTCCTTGTTCCTGATGAATTTCTTTCTACTTTCAGCTGAGCACAACACAAGCCCAGAAAACTGGAATTGAGTGGTGCTGGGGAACCCGAGGGATGGTTCAGTTTGGGTGTCTCAATTCGGGGAGGGTGCCATAGTGCTCCAGTCTGCCCCTTAGCACATCAGCTGGGAGCTGTTGTCTTCATCTGGCTGGGGCCTCGGTTTCAGCCTGACCCTTTTCCTTCCTCACTCTTTACTTTTAGGAAGAATGCAGAAAACATGTACTACTTCTCAGAGCTTGCTCTAACTCTCAATGCCTGGGAAGCTGGCACCGCCCCCACAGACAGCCGATTGCGGCCTGACCAGAGGCTGATGGAAAATGGGCGCTGGGATGAAGCCAATGCTGAGAAGCAGCGCCTGGAAGAAAAGCAGAGACTCGCCAGAAAGAAGAGAGAAGCAGAAGCTGTGAAAGCCACAGAGGATGGTAACAAATCTACCCTCTTCTCTGTTTCTTGATATGGGGAGACTGCAGATGTGTTTGCGACTCTAATTCTGTTTTTCTTCACTCTCCCGTTAGGCACACCGTACGATCCCTACAAGGCACTGTGGTTTAAGCGGGAGAAGGACCCCGTTACCAAGGAGTTAACCCATATTTACAGGGGAGGATACTGGGAGTGTAAAGAAAAGCAGGAGTGGACCGCATGCCCGGACATCTTCTGAACTGACAGTAATGAAAAGGAAGAGCAGTCAAAGGCCAAGAGGACAGAGGATGTGCGGGAAAGCTGGCTGTTGGGACCCTCTTACCCAGGGCTTTCCTCGAGTTTGTCTGTCTTAACCAATCATTTTTTCCAAATCAATCACCAGAAGCAGACACCAGTGGTGGTGATTGGCTGGTTGCCTTAGCTGACTGAAACTGAAATCAACATACTAGATGCCCATGTTTGTAAGGGAGAGGCTTAGTGGCTGAAAGGTAGTGTTATTCCACGTCTGCAAAGCCAGGTATTCTTGGCTCTTCCTTCTCCCTCTGCCCCTGTGTAAGGTGACGCCATCCAGCCTCCCCCTGTCGTGTCCTGCTCAGCCAAGATCAACACACGATTATGACGCAGGGGCATTTTGGTGCTGCTCAGAGCAAGAGCTGGTTTAAGAAGTTCCTTTAAAGAGAAACACAGGAGACTCACCAGCAGAGGCATCGTGCATGGCCGCGGTGGAGCTTAGGCATGACGATACGAAACGTTCGCCGGGGTCCCTCGCACGGGTGTCGGTGCGCAGATAACTGCATCTCGGAACACTCGCCGGGGGATTGTTCCATAAGGTTGGAACACTGAGTTACATTCTTGGAAGTTTCTATCTTCACTCCCATAAAACACCCTCTGCTGTTCTCCATCTTCTTTGTCATCAACCGGAGGTCACTTCGGTGGTTGTCAGAGGGTTGCAGTGTCCTCACGAGGGGTTTTATGGACTTGCTCAGGCGGAGAACTTCTGAGAACACAGGCAGACGGAAGAAGACTGCCGCCACCTTTGCTTTCCCACTTCCTCCTCACCCCATCCTTCATTGCCTTGCTCACTTCTCTTCTCTCTCGGCACAGGACCAGTTTGGGTCTGTGCTCCAGAGTGGAGCAAAACATTACCTGTCCCGTTCTTTTCTGCAGAACTTGAGAGAAGCAGTTCATCTGGAATAAAAGTTGTCACCATCTCTCAAGCCCTATGGACTGGAGCCACCTATGGAATAATGTGTTAAATAACTGTATATTATATATATGTAGAGAAAAATCTAATTTTCTTGTTTGATTTTCCTTATTCCCATTAAGAATCTTGTTTTTTGATATCTCTGGTCTCCCCGGGACTGTCTCTTGGACATGGGGCGTGGATCAGACCCTCCTCCGCTTACCATCCTATAAGGGCAGACTGGCAGAACCCGAGCAGGGCCATGCTTGGCAGCTACCGAACAGGGACATTATCCATGGCTTGTGTCATGGGGTGTCCACTACTGAAGCCTGTTCTAATTACCTGACTCTTGAAAATGAAATCCTAACTTCTTTCCTGCCTTTTTTCCATCTTGTCAGGAAGATATGGGTCGACAGTCAGGAGGGTTATTTCCCACTTAATTCTGCCTCTGTCCAAATCACAGCACACACAGCTGACTCCCAAAAGAACTTCCTTCAGAGGACATGGGGCTGGAAGCAGCATCACACGGGGTGGGTGAGAGAACCCCTATTGGGCCCTGGCTTCCTCCATTTTTTGTTCTGTATTTGTTTGAGTTTTCTGTTGTGAAATCTCACCTCCTGCCACCTACCCTTGGTTGAGGATCACAAATTGAGGTGCCTTCCTTGTATGCCTTTTGTTTGTGTTTTTTATTTCTGTTCCTTAACTGCTGAGCCTCAGCCAGTGTGGGTTCCAGGGGCCACTGTCATTCCAGAGGAAGCCAGCCCTCCGGGAAGCTGGGTTTATACCATTCATACGGGGAAACTGGTACTCCTGATCCTTCCCCACCTGCCCTTCCTCTCTTCCCAGCTGGGATGAACTTGAGAGGGGCAACTGCTGGGGATTTTCCTACGAAGAGCCCAGCATAAACAAGGGGTTGTCCTGGGCTTCCCTCAGGGAGGCCTACAAAAGCAAAGACATGATGAATCAGGCTTTAGACAGCAGGAATCCCCGACTAAATGAACCCTTTTCCTCCCCCCACTTCTCCATCGTCTGCACCACACTTCCAGCCTGGTCCCCAGTCAGATTCCTGCCAATGGAAGAAGCTTCCAGTCCTTCAGGTGAAATAAAGTCACATCAAAACAAAACAAAACTATATATATTTTTGGTTGTTTTGCTTTCTTGTTTTTTTTTTGTTTTTTTTTTCCAAGAAAACTACTAAATTAAATAATTTTTAAAAAGTCATATTGTGTGTCTGGTTCACTTCTACTAGGTAGGAAATGGTGGGGACAGTGGGTTCAGGGGTGATCTGTTCTCTGGGATCTGGGATGATGATCTTTACAAACCAAAGGAAAAACGGCTCAGCCTCAGCCAGTGTGGGTCCCAGGGGCCACGGTCATTCCAGAGGAAGCCAGCCCTCCAGGAAGCTGGATTCATTCATACCATTTATATGGGGAAACTGGTACTCCTGGTCCTTCCTCCCTCCCTAGCTGGGATGTACTCCAGGTGTTTCAGCTGCTGAGCTGCACTCTGGAGCCCCCCTGCCGCAGTGTACTGTAATCATAGTGTCCCACCTTGGTTATTCATTCCAGGCCTGTTTCACCTCAAAAATAAGAATTTCATTTCTCTTTCTGTTTAGGTTCTTAAATTCTGAGCTGTTTCATATAGGGATTCAAATCTATGTTTTGAAACGTAAACAAACAGGTATTGATTTAAGACCATGGGGAGAAGGAACAGTGAAAATGCCCATTTAGGTTTTCTCTGTAGAGTTCAGGGAGGGGAGGAGCAGGGCAGAGGAATCAAAGGGGCCTGGAGAGGCCTCCTAGGGAGCAAGCACAAGTCCTGCCCTGTAGATGTGGGAGGCCTGCACATCTACGGAGCATCTGCGCGTGTTTGTGTGTGTGTTGGGGCACTGCGAGGGACTCGGCATTGGTTTACACATCCGAAGAGGTTCATGTTACAATCACCGTGCTGAATAGGAAGAAAAGCACTGAAACAGCTAACCAATAAATGCACTCAAGGTCACACAGCTGACTTGTTAGTCACTTTGTTGGAATTCAAAGCTGGTTTGTTTAACCCTGGAGTTTGTGACCCCTACAACCTTGTGTTCTGGGAGAAACTGCGTTGGAAAGCCGCTGATAGTTGTTTCCTCCTGGGTTAGATCACATCGCGCAGTATTTTTTTTAAAAAAATATATTTTATTGATTTTTTTTACAGAGAGGAAGGGAGAGAGATAGAGAGTTAGAAACGTCGATGAGAGAGAAACATCGACCAGCTGCCTCTTGCACACCCCCTACTGGGGATGTGCCCACAACCAAGGTACATGCCCTTGACCGGAATCGAACCCAGGACCTTTCATTCCACAGACCAACGCTCTACCACTGAGCCAAACATGTTTTGTCCACCTATAGGAAGGAGCATTCTTGAAGTCTGGCCTCGGGCTCCTTCAAGTCTCATGGCTCTAGTGCTCACAACATCAGCTATGTTGTCAGGGATGTTTTTCTAGCCTAGTTCTGGGGTTTAAATCATTTGCCTGATTCCCAATGCTGGACTAGATGTTAAGTTTCAGCAATGTTTTTTGGGGGGGAGCTAAAAATCATCCTAGTATCAGGTGCGGCCAGGCCCGGAGTAGCAGCAGCCAGGCTGGGAGCAGCCAGGCCGGAGCAGCAGTGGCCAGACCAGGAGCAGCTGGTTATGGAACGGACCAGAGCAACAGAGGCCAGGCCCAGAGTAGCCAGGCCTGGAACAGCCTGCTCCTCACCTGCCTTTGCCCCAAGGCTGCCTCTCAGACATGGCTGGAAATTTTGGGGGAAACTTGAGGGTCTGCTGAATCAAGTGATGAAGGCTTAGATCTGGATGTGTTGAGTTAGTATAGCGCTGGGGTGTTGATCTGTGAGTGCCTTGTGTGGGGCCTGGATGAGGTTGGTTGATCTATTTGGAAATGTCTTTTGAGTGAAGTGTATCCTTAGGCATGTGGAGGTATTATTGATTTGAGAAAATGCTAAGTAACTGATTTACTATCTGAAAAATTTTAAGTTCTGAAAGTTTAAGGTCTCTTGCCAAAAAGAGGTTTTAGAGCTAACACCTTAATTTTAAAGGGAATGACAAGCCCTTCCCACCCAGAACAGGTAATCCAATTCCAACCAGCAGCTATGTTTAAACAATGTGTCCATTTATGGGAGGGGAGTGGACTGACTGTTCTCAGGGAAAGGGAGGGAGGAAGAGACTGAACATAAACTGTGCACCTATGGATGAGGACAATGGGGGGTGGGGAGGGGGCGGAGGGTGGGGTGGGAACCTGGTGGGAGGGCGGAAGAAATGAGGAACCTTTGTAATAATATAAACAATAAAGATTGATTAAAAAATAAATAAAGAATAAAATAAAATAAAAATCATCCTAGTAAACATTTGTTAGAGCTGCGTCCTGCAATCTTGAATACCACTGCGGTATATAATTTCCTCCACTAGCAGCAGTCAAATGTACCTGAAACATTTTAATACTCTCTCCTTTAGTCCTTTAATGGGCTACTGTGACATTGGGATGGGATGGGATATGGATCCTGAGAGGTCCTATCACACTCAGGATTCAAAACTGATGACTCAGCAAAATCACAAGTTGCTATGCTTGTGAGGAACCTCTGAAGTCCCACAAAAATGTTAAACCCATACATTTCAAGGTCTGCTTGACTTCCAGCAAGATGAGTGAAAACCAATGTGTAGTCCTACAAGGTGGCATAGAAAAAAGTCTTTGGAACTTACATTAAGGGTATACCTTGTGAAATCTAAGATTGTCATTAAAATTTAGAGCTGGCTTCTAAAAGTTTGTACAGCTTTTGCCCAGTAGTCTGCCCTACCCTGTGGGAAGCATTCCAAGCCTCTTATGGCTTTCTCTTCCAAAATTCACAAAATAATCTGATTGTATTTTTCTCAGATTCTCCCTTCTACTCTTTTTAAGTAGAGTGCCCCTCTTTTAGTTCACAGCGATCTCTCAGGGGAAGGAGCTGGGGTGGCCAGCTGAGGCATCCTTAAAGGCAAGAGCTAAAGAACTCAAAATATATATTATAGCATTGCCAAGGTCA